TTGATTGGCTCTCCACCCAAGTCAATTACCTTGTGCAGGAAAAATAGAACAGTCCTTGCTACTTAAAAAGAAACAAGTAAATTGCATTGCTCCAGACACTGTTTCAAGAAAGAAGCATTACTTGAGCAAAGTACATTACTTGGTTTACTTGCAAAATTGTACTTAAAGCTATTTTCTTCATTTTATCTCAGCCTAGCTGTGAACTTGTTTTCTGTCTCCACCCTAAATGTCCTTACCCTGATCATTACCACATAACTAAGGTTTGGGCCATAACATCTTCATATTTAGTCTATAGTCACCAATGCCTCTGGTTCCAGCACACGGGCAACCTGATTTCACTGTGTAGCTGAGGAATGTTTCACTATTTGCCCTAGAACTTGCAGGCAATATACTACTTTAATAAAATATGTCTAGCAACTTTAGCATCTGGTGACTGGAACCTGCTTCTTAAGTCTTGTTAGGATTTATTATTCAAACGTAAATCACAACTTTGGAATACCACTGGTTATGCCACTGGAAAAGAAAGTTTCAGACTGTAATCACCATTTATATTTTCTGTTACAATTTATTATCCAGAATTTAAAATACAGAGAGTGAAATAATATCTTTTTTAAATCCACAGAATTTTTACACTAACTTTGATGCAGTAAATTTCATCTCAAGTGAAATCTCCAGGTTACCTAGATTCAGAAGGTCCAAACCAGCTGAGGCATTTTGCATGTCAATGACCATTTGTGGGCAGATTAGACATTTGTAAATCACTGTTATTAAATCTTGATGACAATTGAGTCTGAAAGCTGTGTTGGCCCAGCTCAAGCAAAGTATTGCTTCCAGTATGAGACTGATTCTATACTGTGTCAGCAAGAAAAATACCTGTGAAGTACAATTTTAAAAAAATAAAGATTACCTCCTGGTAAATGAAAGGTTTTGTTCCTGCAGGAAACCATTTGGTATTTAGATCTTTCAGCTTGTCTAAAATCACCTTCACATCCACAGGCCACATATGCTTGGCAGCATCAATTCGAAAACCTGCTACACCAATATCAATGAGGTTGTTCATGTACTCAGCAACTTTCGAGCGTACATAGTCCTTCTCCAGGGCCAGGTCAAGAAGGCTAACCAGGCGGCAGTTTCGGACCTATATAAAAATTCTGAAATGAAATATTTTTCACCTGATAAACTAAACATAGTGTTCTACATACAATCTGAATTTTGTTACCTACATTACAGTGCCAAAATATAACCGCCAGTTATCTTGGATAGGAGGAGTAAGAAGTCTGCATTCACCCAGTTTACTCAGCTGTAGGTGCTGAAGGATTATAGCAGAGAGTCAAACCATTAAATCTACAATTAGCTTTTTAATGTAAGTATAGAGCAAAAATATAATAAATTCTTTTTACTCCAGTGTATTAGGGAACAGATTCATTACTATTTCAAGTGCGCTCATTTCTTCTCTGATGCAGGAAAGATTTTTAGAAAATATGTTTCTAAATCTTTAAGAAATCTTGAGTTACTATAGCCTTACTAAACATTAAACTCTCTGTCCCTTTTTCACCTTTGTTTCCTGTAAATACAAAATGATGGGTATCAATTTCCATCAAAATAATACTTCTAAATAAAAAGCATTTCAGTATATTCAGTGTACGTTTAATAACTCTTACAATGGATTTCCATGACTATGGACATCTGCCTGGAGAGAACAAATTGTACTAAAGAATTGGCTATAAAGATGCTCCTTTAGAACTGCTCAAGAATTCAAGGACATTTAAAGTCTCTTCTGCTATTTCTCCAAAACTCTCTCAACTTAGATTCAGGAAAAAAATCAAATACATTTGAAAGGCATAAGACATTATTCAGGAAAGATATTTATAAAATAATTTTTCATTCTGTGATAGTTTTAAATTCCTGTCCTCGTAAACTTTGGATCTAGAGGAACAGATAGACACCTCTTATCTTCACACAAGGAATTCTTTCTTAGGAAGGGAAATCTCTAAACAGAAGTTTGATTTTCAAGATTTTAGCATCACTATTTTTCTTTATGGAATCCTAATCTCTCTCTTCTGAAATTGAGACTGATGAAAACTTAATTTCAAATCAATCAGAGGCAAATAATAACTCTCACATTTTTTAAACACAAAAAAATCACACATGAGAATCCCTAAATAGATTATATGAGCTTTAAAACTGTCTTTATAAAATACCTAAGCACATTGTCTAAACCTGAAACTGAATCAGTGACTCAAGTAGATCTATAGTGGTGATCCTGATAGTAAAGCTAACCTCTGTTATCAATTAGGATGGCTTTCCATGAGGGTTTTTGGTTTGTTCTTGAAAAATGTCTGACACTAAAGGGGAACAAAGAAACAACAGCCCAGGAATGGATATATATAACAGATATAATTATAGTTCTAAGTTTACCTGAAATATGTCATGATAATTCTCAATGTCTCCACTTCTAGATTTACATTTACCATCATTAAAGTCCCAGCCAGAATACGGGACAGCTGGAAAGTCTTTAGTCTTTGCATTGAAATAGCTTCCACAAGTAGCATGGTTGCCGGCACCAGCATTAGCTCCGCACATATGGTTGATTACTGCATCCACATAAATATGTACCTGGAGAACAGGATTCACATTTCAATTTGAGAAAGCTGCTTCCTATGACACCATTAATTAACATTCTCTCTCTCTTACCTCCTGCCCTATCCCTCTGTTACTGCCTGTTTGCTTCTACCAACATTTTATTTAAAATATTTCTTTTCTTAACAGATGGCGATACAAGATGCATCTCAACAGACAGGCAGAAAAAAACCCACCTTTACTCCAATGCTACCATGTCTTCCCTTCTAGATTACTGGTTCTCTATATCCTTGCATTTTTAACACTAGAAGCACTTACTCCAACATTGTTGCACCTGGTCACCATGTCTCTAAATTCAGTTTCATTTCCAGATCGTGTGCAGAGCTTGTAGCTGACTGGCTGGTATCTTTCCCACCATGGTTGCCGGGGGTCAGTAACGATAACATTTTCATTTGGAGGTGAAATCTGTGAATAAGATGGCGTCTGTTGATAACAGGATACTGATAATGGTTTATTTGTTCATTCAGCATTGCTAAAGAACATAAAAACAGAAAATCAGGTCCCTTTAATGGAAGATGCTCACAATACCTAACCCACACAGACTCTCAGTATCCTCTGCTTACACTGTAGTGGGCTGGAAATAAAAGACTAAGGCCTGGACCTTCAGCAGGTAGAAACATACTATAAAAATTGTGTCCATGTCCTAATTATCCTCAGGAATGCAGGCCTCAAAGATCAAAAGAAAGGTCTGAAATCTGATGGACTAGGTCAGTATAGATAGCCCAGAATCAGGAAGGAGCTGACTGCAGAACAAATGAAGTAACATCCTGCCCTTAAAAAACTGATCTCACTTCACATTTTCGTAATGTTTTGGATAAAAGCATCCTTGACACTTATCACCATTTTCCAGATAAGCTATGCCTCTTCCTGTTATTGGCTCTTTCCAGGATACTTTTCAGCCAACAAGCTTTTGCTGTTATTTCCAAGTCTCTGGGCATAACCATCTGATCCCACCATTGCTCAAAGGTCCCTAGCCTGCAGTCTACTGAGCTGCCACACCTTCGTGACCAGCTCAGCAAGTTTGCATCTGAAAAAACTTTCTTTCTGAGACTCTGGCAGAGCACAGATTAAAAAGATATCCAAGTGTATAGCACAGTCTGAGAAATCAGCTTAAAATCAATCAGCCTGCGTGCCTGGAAAGAAGGTTGCAAAGAAAAGACGTATTATTAGAAAATTATGGGAATGTTCTCACTCAGGCCAACTTACAAACTCCTGGGCTACAAGAGACAGGCAGAATTCTCGCACCATTTTTTTTCCTGAGCAATCTGACAAACAAACTGAAATAGTTTAATAGGTGACTGCTCTCCAGCTGCCCTGCCCCACCCAACTGGCACCACTGGTTCCACACAACATGTGCCTGCTGTCCAGGCAGAAGAGATTAACATCTGCACCTCCACCAGAGCCTGTGTTCTGTTCACTTCTGCCTGCTCACCCCAGGTTCTGCAAAGAAGGATCTCTTAAAGGCTTACTCTGACAGTGGGCTTTACAGAGAGAAACTTGCCAGTTTGGGTAAACACAATTAGCAGCCTTTTATATTTATTTACTTGAAAACTTCAGCACTTTAGTATTCTTTTTGGGAGCACTTTTTTCAATCATAGTTTCATTTTATGTTTATCTAGCTCTTAAGAGCTTCCCTTGATTTAAATAATATCAAGCAGATAAACGCAGGTTACTCTTCACAGCAGTGAGAAAAAGATTTAGCCAGTGATATGCAATTCTAATTCATCTAAATGTAACAGCACAGAGTGCAAAACATACACTTCGAAGCAATGAAATGAATTCATGCTTACACAATGATGGCTGAAGCATATATTTGTCAGCATTTACTACTTCCGTTACCAATTTCAATTTTTCTTTCTCAGTACCTGTCCTTTGGTGATTTGAACATTTACTCTGAAAAACAAATTATCATCTATGTAGCAATTTTACTACCTATTGCTAGGAACAGACATACCTGAACTCCTCCAAATCCATTAGCAGCTAAATAGTGTTCACACTCAAGAGCAATATCTGCCCAGCGCCATTCAAAGAGATGCACGATAGACGTCCTCCCAGGGAGAGTATTCGGGTTGTACTGTGCCCAGCAAAACCCCACAGCCAGCAGAAGAAAATAGATACCCATCCTGTGCTCTGTGATCAGTTGTGCTCTTCTTACTGCCTATTTCTGTTCCTGCAAGAGGGCAAAGTACACATTACAAAATACCCATTTAAAAGCAAATGCCCATCTTGGGCATCATATTTATTTAACTTCACTTGACTGACATTTTGTTTGAGAACTGGATCCTATTTGATCTATATCAACCTCCCATACAAACGGAAACTGTTTTTCTGAAGTTAAAATTCAGGCCTTGTCTAACACAGGCTGCCTCTAGTGTGCAAAAGTTGTATTTTTATTAGTATAAAGCAAAAAAAACCAACCCAAAAGGCAAAGTAATAATTATATAAACTGAAAGAGATATTTATTTTCTCATTTTAATGTACAATATTTTACATTCCTATTTATCCTTGAGAGGCATCTATTTTTTCAATCTATGCTACTATTACTTACGCATATTTGAACAAGATTTGGAGAAGCAGGACGTTTCTTATCATGAGTCATCATGAAACCCCAGATATTTTGGAGGTCTAATATATACAAGCCTGTTGTTCACGATATGCATGACATCTGTCATTCAAACAACAGCCCTAATCTTGGAAGATCTCTCAGATACAGAAGTGACTGTACTAGCTCAATACCAGAAACGCTAAATGTTTGATTTCTGTACACCTGTACAGTTTGTGTGGAGATGTTCTCCTTCCAAAGAACACAGCACAATGGCACGCAGAGGTTAGAGGTCCTGTGACGCTCCGTAACCAACCAGCCTCCTTCCCAGTGTCCAGCTACAGAGTTCTGCAAATGCACTGAAAGAGCTTTCCAGAGGAGGAAAACCTGATAGGCTAGGAGCTGTACTTTACAGTTCACATTGTATTTGTGTTTACTTATATACTAACACAGATGACAAATCTATTAAAATTGCCTCTCCTCTTTCTCATCTAAAGAGAGATAAGACTGTAACAAACCATAAGTTAAACAACTATTAAGGCTTCAGTTACACTATGTAGGATCTCATTTTGCACTCTTCATGTTTAGAAGTTGATTTAGAGAGTCTCAGATGCAAACAAGTCCTACAAGGAGGTCTTTTGCAAACAAAATGGTGAATTACTGCTTCCCTTAAGTAACGAAACACAGGATCTCATTACTTTTCTCTAAGTATTTATCTGTAAAAAGCTATCTTAACACAGAAACACCACAAGGCAAAGAAGAAGTAAGGAGAGTCCTGGATGCTATCATAAGGGACACCAAACATTTCAGTGAAGGTTCAAATATAAACACAAGGGCCTTCAGGCTTGCTACTTGAAAGAAACCTCCACCTTCTCCTGATTTAATATGCATTCGAGAATGCACTGCTGAAAACTCCAACCTACAGAGACCCAAGGAGAAGTTTACATAAAATACTACATGGTTTCTACAAAATGACCCTCATTTTTATTTCAACAAAAGGATGATCCATATCTCTCAGTCAGTGGAGCTGCACTCATTGGAATAAATTCAAGCACAAAATACATCAGTTTATAAAGAGTAGAACCTGCCTTCCAGAACCTGTTGCTGTCAGTTGTCACTGTCCTTAACAGGCAGACAGTTATTTAGAATGAGTCATCTGATAAATTTAGCTTGTTTTGCTGCTTGTGAACAAAATAATTTTAACAAAATTATTTGTAGACATTCAGTAGAGTATACAGATATATTTCAGCTGGAACCAGCTGTTCTGTGTGTTTCCATTTTCATGAAAGAATGGTTCTTTGCCCTGACAGCAAGAACATACATTAAGAGAAAATGAGCTAAGAAAGTTCGATCTTCTCTGATGAGAGAAGCCATTTATCAGATTGGCTATTTTTACTTACAGCAGTAAGTATACAAAGCAGTAAATTACATAAAGCAGTAAGAATAACATATTTCAACCCAATCAGCCCTAAGACCTAGTGCTTGAAGAGAAGACTCAGTGTAGTTTCTCATTTCCTTGAAATAGGTTTACAGCTACTCTGGCTTCAGTACAAGCACTGGTAAGAGAAGGGACACGTTGAAACCTCTCAATGCACTCTGAAGGCTCTAGCTTCAAAATGCTTTTGAAATTTGGACAAAAAGTATTCTGCTACAGAAGAAAGGAGAGCACAACTGACTGCAATTCAAAGGACATGGGAGAGAATTGTTTCTGAAGAATGCTATGACTGTCTCGGACAACATAAGAATTCAGGTCTGCTTGTCTTCTGCTGGGTTCAAGTCTGTGGTATGAAACTCAGCTGCTACCTCCAACACGCTAGCAACAATATTTAAATTTGCGAGAGGTTTGACGCAGGCTTGCTGAAGCTTTAGACGTTAAAGGCTGTTATAGGAAAGTAGTTTTTCATGTGTAACTTCTAATCACTCCCCACAGAACTTCCCTAGGCAGCTGCATGAGCTGACAAGCAACTCTGCTTCTGCGCCTCCTTTAGAGACACAGCACTGCCCCTCACAGCTCTCCTCGGAAGCAGCTCCACCGGCCACAGACCCCGCCGGGCCTCTTCAGCACACACAGGCACCAGCTCTGCCGAAAGCAATCATACGCACGTTTTGGGGCAAGCTTGTGGCATTTTCAGCGGACTCCAGCGGCATCACCT